CAACTCACCGTTTGCAATCTTATTCATCAATGGTGACCGGTTGACAACATTGATGTCATTCAAAAATCCAGGCATTCCAAAGAATGCATGCCAAATCCAAGTCTCCTGATCGGCCACTGCTTCAAGGATTATAGTGGAACCCTTTTTTTGGCCGTGGAATTGCCCATGCCATGCCTTTGGACAATTCTTCCAACTCCAATGCATGCAATCTATTGAGCCAAGCATGCCAGGAAAACCGCGAGCTTTGTTCATCGCCAATAGCCTTGCGACTTCTTCAGCATTGGGAGATCTCAAATACTCCTCGCCAAACACTTGCACAATTCCCACTGCAAAGCGCTTGACACACATGATGGCTTGGCTCTCACCCATAGCCAAGTGATCATCAACAAGATCAGCCGGTATACCGTATGCCAACATACGCAAAGCGGCTGTCACCTTCTGAAAGGTGCTATGCCCGAGCTCTCCGGCGGCATTCCTCCTTTGCTGAAAAAAACGGTCATGGCTCGCTAGTTTCTCTGCAATGCGCCTGAACAATTCGGTGCTCATCCTAAACCGGCGACGAAAATACGACTCAGGGTATATGGGATTCTCCGCAAAATAATGCCTGATCAATCTGTTGTGGGCATCGATCCTATCCCTCCAAATTTTCTGCCGACCCATAACCGAACCACCGTGCTTCGGTTTTTTTATATGCATAGCTAGGATCATTGCAAGATCCTCCTCCTCTTCCATATCAAATTCTTCTTCGGAAGAATCATACGACGACTCATCTACAATATTCAATACTATACTATAAAAACTACAAATTCAAAACATGCATCAAATTCATGAAGTTTGAGCAATACATACCTTGTAGGCGTTTTGTCAAACACCTTGCGGGCGCGGCGCGGCAGCGAGCGCTCGGGCGCTGTTTCTCGGACGACGGAGGCGCGCGAGCGCCGACGGGACTAGAGGGGATGACGCGGAAGCGCGGGCGCGCGGGGATAGGCCTGGGAAGCCTGAACGGTCGCCGGGGGGCGCGGGTGGCGGCGGCGGCGCGGCCGGACGGGGGGTGAAAGTAGGAGAGGAAGTGCGGGCGCGAGCGCTGGAGTGTGCCGCGCGCTGCAGCGGGCGCCCGAAATACACCGCGCGGCTAAGTGTTTTCGACCGCGCGCCCAATCCGTTATAGCGCACGTGCCGTTTTTGCACGCCCGCTGGAGCGACCCGCCGCGTTGCGCGCGCGCTAAAACGGCCTAATTTATGGCGCGGCGCTAATTTAACGCGGTTGTTGGAGATGCTCTTAATACATTGACCGGAACAGATCGTTGCCGTGATCGCCGCGTTGGACTTGAATGGACTAGCCAGCTAGACTGGATTATGAAGCGTGAATTGACCAAGCAGAATACCATCATGCATGCATGTGCTGCTGCGTTTTGCTCCAGCTTGAGCTAGCCGGCCAACGCTCAAGTCCGAAGCTCCTTAATTATAACTCCGGAAATTCAGTGCAGCTTGTCAGAACAATGTAACTTCAAGTTCTCTCGTACTCCCTCCGGTCCTTTTTCTTTGCATATAAGAATTGTCTGAAGTCAAACTTCATAAAATTTGATCATATTTATATGAAAAAATATCATCATCTACCATGCTAAAGTTATACTACAATATAAAAATTTAAGTCATGACTCATCTACTAATATTGATTTCACATTGTAAATGTTGACATTTTTTTCTATAAAGTTGGTCAAATTTTACGAGGCTTGACTTCAGTCAAATCTTATATGCGAACTAAAAAGGACCGAAGGGAGTACGTGCAAGGAAGCTGCACTACACTATTTTTTTGCGGTGTACATGTAGCTCGAACTGCAGTCCATCCACAAGCATGTGGAACTAGATAGTGGAGTAGCACCTACCTGCCTACTGTCTCCACAATATAAATTTCAGGGAGCAATTCAGCACATGCACGTCGAATACAGTATATGGTCGCATTCAGAGGAGGAGTGTGCATTGAAATGAAGAAGAAGCTGGTGGCCCAACTAGGCCCAGATCGACGAGCGTGAACGTGCTTGGTGATCATGCATGGCAGGTCTGAATTCGCCATGCGGTTTCTCTCCTCTCTTGATGGCCCCATGTGTGCAACAGATCTCCTTCACCGGTGGAATGGAGCACAAATTTTGGATAGAAGTTAGAACTGCACAACCACGTCGACCCCTTCCATTTCCATGCATGGTATGTTCATCATCACATACAGTACTAGTACTACCGTATCATTGTTCAAGGGCACATTGATTCGTCCCGTCATATAGGTGGAGCTGAAAATGCTCTTGATGTCGATCAATTGCACGTAATATAATAGCAGGCATGTGCAGCTCAGGTCCAGTGATTTGATCGATCGAATTATCAACAGGCAGCCGTGTATATCAGTCTAAAAAGAGACAGAACAACACAGCATATATACGGTAGTAGGCTACGTGCCTAGCTTGGTTCCAAATATGACTATCAAACGGTCCCCGGCCGGGAACATCCTCCATATTCCATGTCCGTCGTGCCATGAAGTGGCATGCTCTCCGAGAGCGGCTCCCGCGCTCTGGACCGCGCGCGAAGCTAGATGGAAAATGACGGGGCTAATTAATCATGATCCTGACGGGAGAATTAAACGGCCGTACCCAATTGCAATTGGTGCAGAAGCATGTCGTCGATCGACGATTTTTAATTTGCAGTACGTCACAGGTCACAGTCGGGCGAAAGCTATAGTGTTCATCGATAGCTAGCACGGTACAAATAGACTGAAGCTAATACAGTGGCATAGCCATCACAAAGCAAAACAAAACGCAATGGCACTGAGCTAGGCTTAATTTTAAGCGGGGTGCATTTTGCTGGTCTGGAATGTACGAGTGGCGACGTGCGTACAGTAGAGGCGTATAGCTCACCGGCCGCGCGCGTTGATCGTGGAACAGTGGTCACGCTGAACAGCGGCGTCACGACCCCATCCATCCATGATCCATGCAATGCAGCTCGACCGGCCCAGCGGAGAAGATGAGCCGAATCGAACGTTCCACGCCGGCACTGCCATGCACATGCATGCATGCATGCGCCAGTCGAACCCAGGAGACCGGTCGCCCGTCCGATTCGAACGTACGGTCGGGATGGATCGAGCGGAGACGTTGCTCTCGAGCGATTGGCCCCGCCCCTGCCTGTGTGATCGATTGACACTCCGGTGGATGTGCGTATGCTTATGTTCCCTTGGGTATTGGCCAGTGATCATTGCTGGTTGGCCATGCCGCTACTTTGGATTTTGCTGTTGAGGATTTGTCTCCCTAATAATCATCAATCGATTGATCAATCGGTCGAGCTGCATTACTAGCACGACACATGCATGTGGGGGCTAAGCTACCTGATTACTTATTAATACTTTGCAAAATATGTCCATGCATTAATTTGGTATTCACACTGTATTTCTTTTAGTTTGATATTTGCAAAATTTGACTAACAATTGGACTGATTCATAGTAAAAACGTCTTATAAAAAGTTACAAGAGGGAGTACTTTGCAAGGAGTATGTCTCTAGTTTTTTTTTTGCATGGTAATACGTGTCTCATTCATATCTAAAAAATAAAGTACAAGTCACGTAAAGACCGACATGATAAAACTGAAAAAACAGCAGAACGTCTCTAAGGTTGACATCAACGCCTGTCTCTAGTTTGTAATTGACCGACAATACTATGTACTTCCTCCGTTCCTAAATATAAGTCTTTGTAGAGATTCCATTAGGAACCACATACGGATGTATATAGATACATTTTAAGTGTAGATTCATTCGTTTTGCTCTGTATGTAGTTTATCTAGCTAGTGAAATCTCTACAAAGACTTATATGTAGAAACAGAGAGAGTATATAGGTATTAGGTATCTCCTTTCATGGTTTTATAAGTGTCAGGAATGTTTCACCAAAGAGAATACTAGTAGCGGTATATGTGGCCTTGCTCCCAGAGCCAGCCACCGACAAGAACAAATTAAACGACGGGCGTACGGTGGAGAAGAGTACGTGCCTTTGTTTTGCTTGCTGCTGGACTGCGTATGCACGTACGCACATACAAAAAGTCGTGCCGTATTTGCCACTGGTCATGCATGTGGTGGTCACAATCGTCGTTTGTACAACGCCTGTACTCAATCAACCATATCAGTGCTACGTGCTAGGATACGTACAACGCCTGTACTCAATCAACCATATCAGTGCTGCGTGCAAGGATACGTGCCAACCAATGCATTAGCCGGGTGAAAACAATGTTGCTGTGGAACCCAATGAAAACCACGTACAGATTATGTTTTCAAGTTTTGGAAGAAATACAACATGTCAAAGTCATGATTTCTTACATAAACATGTAAGATTCCAAGTTTAAAAACAAATTTATCTACGAGTTATGAAGGTCTTCTTTTTACAATTAATAGTACTTCCTTTGTAAAGAAATATAAAGCGTGATAGATCACGAAAATGTCACATCCTAATTGATCTCCATGGTACGCAGTCGATATGCGGTGTCGTACAACGCACTCACTGATGTGGGGGCAGCCCATGTCCGATGACGAGCTACCCATGATCTACATGTGTGAGGAGTGTTTTGCGAAAGCAAACATTACTAAAGGTTATTCAGTTTCGAAGACGTGTTGTATGTTTTTCTTTTAGAAACGCTAATTACAATGTAGGCGCGTGCGCACACACGTACACAAAGGGCGTGTTTGGTTCAAGTTTTGAACAGTAGTTGCATTGCATACACTTTTCAACCCAGCCTGGTTGAGTAAAAACAGCCATAAATGTGTCATCTGCAAGTTGTTTGGTTGCTTGTATCTAGGGTCCCTGCATTAGGTAATACGCAAGTGCACTTTGCTTGGTTGCCTGCATTGGCCCAAGCGACATATGAACTCGGTGTTTGGTTGCACGCATGAGGTATGATTAAGAGCTAGCACTTCACTTAGCAGACAGGGTGAGCTAGCAGAGGGAATGGCAGAAGAAATGCAATGTGCGTCAGACAATGGCGACTACGGTGGACAGTGGTCGTGGTGCCGTGTCCGACATGACAAGCATGGAGTCGAGGACGAGCAACCCCGTCGGCGGCACGGCGAGCGACACCGTCCGCAAACTAGTTGTGGTGCTCGCGCAAAGACGGTCGACAGAGGAGGAGAATGCAGTGCCCGCGCCATGGTATCGTTAGTGCAGTGGACGAGAGAGAGGACACCGAGATGATCGACACCGGAAATGATTCGAGTGTAGTAGGGCGAGAGAGAGGAGGCCAAGATGATCGACCCCGTCGGCGGCGCGGCGAACTGCAGTGTGCACGGAGGCAGAGGACACAAGAAGCAGTGTGCGCGCCATTGCAGCGTCAGTGCAGTAGGAGGACGACAGAGAGTAGGCCGAGATGAGCGACGCCGGAAACGATTCTAGTGTAGTAGGACGTGTGCAAGGAGATCAATGGGAAGGGCTTCGATGTTGAGAGGGATGAATAGGATGGCTCTGAGCGGAGGACAAGGGAGCTCGACATGGCGACGTCAATGCAGTAGACTACTACTCAAAGAGAGATGAAGCTACGATCATCGAAACCAAAAACTTATAACACGAATATTGTGAGGAACTGCGAGATTAGGCTGCTGGTCAAAGGAAATTTCAAATGATCGATCGTGTGCGATGAATCTGACAAAATTCGTCCAGAATAGCTCCAAACGGGAAGACGAGATTAAAAACTTACGGCCGATGAAACTACAAACTAATCGCCTGAATGGAAGCGCAACATCGAGGTGCATCTTTTTCGTGTAGAGCTTACCTTGAACCGAAGCATCGTTGTGTAGATCAGAGGAGCGAAATTAGATAGGAGCTTACTCGAGGTTGAAGAAGAACTCACTTAATCACCTCGCATCCCTTGGTCTCCACTCGTGCAAGGGCCCACCCACTTGCGCTCGCCTTGGCATGGCTCGCGAGAAACTGCCGATTTCTGAATTTTCAATGAGCCAGACCCAAACGTGCTTTAATCGTGCTATACAGGCCCAACAGAAAAACCAGGTAATCAAACAGTCCATTTTCTTTCCATGCAGGCCTGGTTGGGCCTTATGCGAACAACCAAACACACCGAAAGCGTATACTAAAGACCGGAACCAAGTTGCCAACCTTCAACACTGACAAAGTTACCATAAGTGTCTCGCTACCGATGAATACGCCGTCTTCCACACTGAAAGAATAATCCGCGTAAATAAGACGTCAAAACGTACCACCGACACACAAATGAAACGACAGGTAGACGCACGGTGGAGTAGAGTACGTGTCTTTTGTTTGCTTGCTGCTGAACTACTGATGCATGCACGCGCGTACGTATATGGTACAGACAGTCATGCCGTATTGGTCACGTACGGGTCATGCATGTGGTCGTCAATACATCACACTTGCACCACAAACAATAATACAGTCGTACCAGTGGCACCATACGGTACCACCAACCGTTGCAATGGCCCGGCCGTCTAGCTCACGCCGGAAAGATCATCGTCACGACGACGTGGCGCCCTGGACTAATATTGAGCTGCACGACTGATTTATGACTGGCCGGACGCATTTCCCTCAAAAAAATAAAAAGACTGGCCGGACGCATGCCGCGATCGAGAAACGACACGTACGTGCGTATATATTCTGCTGCAGGAAGAAACAACAACAATAATACCACTATTGTCTCAGCCACGAGTAGCGTACGCCACGGTCAAACGATCCCTACCTAGGTCGGCCGCTTAATTGTGCCGTAAAGAAAGGCCACAGAGGTGATGCGGCGCGCCCTGCACCGCACACACATGTTCCACCGCAGCGCGGCGCGGTGCGGGGCCAGAGCGCAGGGTGGGTGCCCTCGAACCATAAACGCCCACCGGCCGGCCCCGCACGGGTGAAGAAGAGGGGGCACTGCCGACCTCCCGTCTACATTGCCCGTCGAGTTCGAATCCCAGTCACTACAGTGCACACAGCACACTCCATGCATGCTACTACCACAAGTAGGAGGATGCTTCATGTCACCTCACCTCTGCTGGGTTAGATGTGATAGACGCAGCATCATGCATGCAAATTGACGGTCGACTAACTAGCGGTGTAGATAAAAATCGATGCGCGTCCGTCACGGTTTAGCCGTGGCTGATGAAGATCAAGTACAGTTAAGGCCGGGCTTAAACTGGGTGCCGACAAGATAAAATGGGCCCGCGCCAACCGTGCGTGCCTATTCCCTTCTTCCCCGCCGTCAGCCCATGGACCACGCGCGCGCGCCTAGCTTCCCCCTCACGATGGATCCCGGCCCGTGCGGTGACTCCATGCCAAGCATCGACATTGAGACTTCCTCAAAAAAGAAAAAGAAAAAAAAAGCATCGATATCAAGAGGTCTTTTCTTTCTCTTTTTGCATCGAGACATCACAGAGTTCATCCCGTCCGGCACGTACGCAGCGAGATCCGTGGTCGTATACTACATACGTAGTACTGCCATGGAGTACAAGATATAAATGGCACGGTTCGTTGCCGTTGGAGTTTAAACTGTGAAGAGACTGATCGATCGGCCGATCCTTCGGCCCATGTGCGTGCTCCATCGGTCGTTAAAACAACGCAGCTGGAAGAAGAATTGACCCAACTTGCGCTTCCATATACGTGCAAGTCCACCGGGCGGCGGATCGGAGCCTCAGTTCTCACTGTCAAATTGCCAATTAAGACGAGCGGCGGCTATCGACCGCAACAAGGCACGTTACTTGGATTCGATGTGCCTACACGCACCACGTAGCAGCAGCAGTAGTACTGCGAACGGATGTTTGAGCAAAGCTAGGTACCATCGCATCGCGAGAAAAGCCGGATGCCGCCGCCGATGCTTAGCGGGCCACACCACGTGATTTGGTTATGTTTCGGTCCATGCTACATTCGTGAAATCTTATATTAAAATTAATGCCAATTTTTGTTTTCATTTTTGCCTGTCATGTCACTTGATTAAGATTGGCTTAAATCGCAATCAACTGAGACCTAACTACATCCTCTTTCTTTTCTAACCATGCAGAAGGATTGCATGCATATGATCATAATTATAGAAGAAAAGAAACTACAATGCCCAAAAAGTACAAGACAATAAAAACAGCCACACACGACACGTGTAGAGAAACAGCTAGAAAATTACTTCCTCCGTGTCAAAATGTAAGACTTTTTTTTTGACACTACGACGATGTCAAAAAAACATTTTATATTTTGATACGAAGGGAGTACTGAACAACCTACACCACATGATAAGACCTAGCGATCCTAGCTAAACAGAGACTCTAAGAACTTGGCTCCCGCTTCGTACCAATTAAAAGCATCACAATTAATCTGATCTAGAAGAGAGTCGGTCGAGCGATGTTTACCATGCAAGACTATATTATTTCTTTCCTTCCAGATATATAGGCCATGCAACCAAGATGATGATGCACTAAAGATTCCTTTTGTCCCTAGGCTCGATTCTTGTACCGCCAAAGACCATTCGGTGAAGGAGTAGTTCATGAGAGGGGTGAGCGCCGAAAGACCGCACCATTCATGTTTGAGATTGAGGAGCCCAACGCGCGGCCGCATCCTTTTGCTTCATCTTGTCCGCGTCTATTTAAAAAAAAGGACGTTTCAAATGTCAAGCCCCAGTTCACGACCCGAGTTCATCACGCCGGCAACAAAGCCAGCGGCCTACACGACCATCGTCGGCAACACAGCCAGCCTTCAAAATGAATAGTTGTCCTCGCCGGCAACACAGCCAGCGGCCGGCAACACAGCCGGCCTCCAAAATGAATGTTTTTTCGTCGGCACACTGCCAGCGGCCTAGCGGGCGGGCGGCACCCATGCCAGCCTCCAAAAAGAACGGCCACGCCGATCGGACGACCTAATTCAGGCCTTCGGCTTCGAGCATCTCCTTCTGCTTGACCTCGAACCAGGCCCTCGTCTTGTCGCTCATCTTCGACAAGTCCACGCTCATGATCGCAAGGGCCACCTCCTTCGCTTTGGTGGCGGCATTGGTGGCCTCGATGTCGAGCTGCCTCTGCCTGGCCTTGATGTTGTCGGCCTCGATGTCGAGCTGCCTTTGCCGGGCGGCCTCTTCCATATCGAGCTGCCTTTGCCGGGCCTCCTCCTCCATGTCTATCTTTCTCTTCTTGGCCGCCTCCTCCATCTCAAGCTTCTGTCGTTGGAGGTCTAGGTATTGCTTCATTTGCTCGTCCTTGCTTTGCCGCTTCTTCTCGTCCCTCACATCCTTATGTGACATCATGCCATGCAAAGTCTCATGCAAGGCCATGGATGAGGTGTCACATATGTCATCCACCTTTGAGTTGGTCTTGCCCCTCGGCCTCTTTAACACCTCGCCATCCCCACCTCCGGCGAACTTGGCCGTCTTCTTGCCTCTCTTCCTTTGAAGTTCACGGTATTGATCCTTGAACTTAGGGCAATTGTTGATGATCGTCCAACAATGCGTAAGAGTGAATGGCTTGTCATTGTGCCGGGCCTTGAATGCCTCCAAAGATTGAAATGCCCACACCACATGATCAACAACAAGTGAATATGCAAACATATACACGGCCAAAGTCTCATGGCCGTAGCAAGGGCTAGAAAGAGAAGAGCATACCATGTCTCCAACGCCGAGACCACTCACGGGCCGTGCTTCAACGCTCTCAAGTGCGGCACAATACTTGTTGCACTCTTATTGGATGAACAACCATCTTTTTTGAATCGAACCGATGCCACGGTTGCTTGTAATTTGGTAGGGCTCAAACATCTTCTTTTCATGGAATGTTTTGTGGACTCTCGTCCAAAAAACAATGCCCTTTTGTTGCGCGCCGGTCCTTGGATCTTGGCTAATCTCCATCCAACATTGGCAAATCAACTTGTCCTCATCTTGTGTATATGAACCGGTGCGAATGCTCTTCCGCTTCTTTTGTGCTTCCGCTCTTTGGGTGAGCTCGTCTATGAACAATGGAGCGCCACTAATATCAACATCTTGGCTTCATCTTCATCTTCACCTTCGACATAGATGTCATCGTCTTCATGCCACGAATCACCATGGTCGTAGTCAGCACGGTCGTCGGCCTCTTCATCGGGCACGTACTGGGCGCGGCCATCCTGACTTTGGGTCTCATCGGGGTCGTAGGCACGGCCATGCCCACCCTGGAAGATCACGTCCTCCATGTACTGGTTGTAGAAGGGGTCGTCCACCGTCGGCGTTGAGGTTGGCATTTCGTCAAACAACACGCGGGGGGCCGACATGGTGCCCGTGAGCGGTGCACGCGCCTGCTTTCTTTGCATCTCGACGAAAGGCCGCCCGCCACTGCTGGACCCAGGCGTCACGTTGAGGTCGATGACGGCCGCGGGGCGTGGTGTGGACGGCGCGAACAAGCCCACGTCCGGCGACGCCGAGAAACGGGTCTGGCCGTCGTGCCTGGGTGGAGGAAAGCCGGGCGACATGGGCGCGGTGCACGACGTCGGCGACTGGCAGTGCGTAGGTCGGGCGACCGACGAGCCTGTGCTCGCCGGGCCGACGGCCGCTGCATGGAACCCCGCCGGACGGCCCATGCCAAGCATGAGGATGGCGTGCGCTTTGTTGACGAGGTCCTCCTTCTCGTCGGCAGCGGCCTTGCGCCGCGCGGCCTCCAGCTCATCGCGCTGGGCGGCGAACTTGGCCGCGGCGGCATTCATCTTGACGGCCGCTCTCCGTTCCCTCCTCTTCGCCGATTCCGCGTCCAACTTGGCGATCTCCTCCGGCGTGTACTCCGACCGCGGCTTCCTTGGCGCCTCCTTCTTCACTTTGCGG